CGACGGGAATCCCCCCCCGCGCCCCCGGGCCGGCCGCCATGTCGCCCTTCCTGCGCATCGGCTTCTCCAACTTTGAGATGGACCCGGGTCTGGAGTACCACCAGGAGGCGCTGGACCCCTACTGCGCCGTTTACATGAAGGAGGCCGTTAATACAGGTGGGACCTGACGGCGGCGAGGACTCGGCCCCATTTACCTCTCGGGGGGGCGTTGAAGTGTCGTCGATTGTTGTCGTTCATGACGTGCGCGCCGCTGCGTCATTCGTTGTACTCCGCGGCAAAAAGCCGAGCGCTTTGGAACGTGCCGGAAGTTGCTCAAGAAGGTGCAAATGGCAACGATTCAAATGTCAGCAGAAGTTCTCATGAAGTAAGAACACTCCTCAGCGTGTCTCGATGTGGGCCGCGCATTTTTAAAGCCATCTCGCTTGATAAGGCGGAGATGAAACCAGGAAGAGATTCGCGATTGCGTTTTCCAGATTTCAAAGCATGAACGAAATTAGCGATGACGGGCCGCCGATGTATTTTGAATTGGCTTTTTTTGTTTTCTTCTCATGAGCGCATTGCAAAGCGCATCGTGCGAGTGTGAGGCCTTTCCCAGAAGGTCAAGATGAAAGCTTCCGCCGCTCATGAAGTCGCAGGCGTTGGCTCTGGGCTGCGGAAAGAAAAGGATTTTCGTCACGGTGCAAAGTGAAGGGCGGTAGCTGTTGCCATGGCGATGTCGTGAAATGCTGCCTGAGCATCGGCTTGTTGGCGAAGACCTTTTTTTCACGCTAGCCGCTGGGCGCGCGAAGCCTCGCTGCGTCGTCTTCTCGAACGCGGCCTACCCGGCCCCGGCGTATTTCCGACAAGAATCTCATCTTTCACATCTCTTCATTATCTTTTGTCAAGGCGTCTGTTTCGGATTGCGTTGGCGTCCCCACCGACGTGCCCGGCGAGCGTACGCAGTGAACTTGCCTGCGACAAACGGGGGGGGGGGGGAAAGAGAAAAAAAAGTTCCTTTTTCTGAGAAAAACACAGGAAGTGACACCTCCTCCAGAGTGCCGGCGCACGCACGCTTTTGCACTCTGGGGCAGATGGCAGACTGACGATGAGCCCGTGATGAAAGAGCACTTTGGGGGAGTGGAAAGCTTAATGCGGGCTTAATCGAGCGGCCATGCGGCCGTTATGCAAGTGGATTCTTAAAACGCGCCGGGCAAAAGCAAATCCGGCAAATGTGAACGAGAGCTGATCATCGGGCGGATTGAGCGGACGCGAGCTCAATGCGAGCGGCGACTCTCGGGGCGCGGCCTTGCGTTTGTCTGAGTCCTTTCCCCCCCTCCCCGCAGAAAAGGGCCAGGTGTACAAGCAGAAGAAGCCCACCATGTACCCCCCGTGGAGCGCCACCTTTGACGCGCACGTGCACGGCGGGCGCGTCATGCACGTGATGGTGAAGGACCGCACGGCCGAGCTCAAGTGCGAGGCCACCGTGGCGCTGGACTCGCTGGCCGCCCGCTGCAAGAAGGAGAGCGGCAAGCTGGAGTTGTGGGTGGGTGCGCGCGTGCGCGGCCCCACCTCGGCGCACCGACGCGCATCGTCCCTTTCATGAGCAACGGCGCCATCTGTTCGCGGCATTTGCTCGTCTTTGTCCAAATGCCCGTTGACGATTGCCCGTGTCGTTTTCCATCCCAGTTGGACTTGAAGCCGCAGGGTCGCCTGCTCATGGAGGCCAGATACTACGTGGAGGTCAGCGGTGAGTCATTTCACATTCCAACTCAATACAAATAGACGCGCGGCGGCGTCGGGGCGCAGAGAAACGGGTGTCACGGCAACCCGAATAAAGGCCGCCACTTTCTTTCCTGTCAAGTGGCCCGACATTCGGTGACGGCCAAAGAGAAGCTAAACCCCGTCGTCGTCGTGTTTCAGACGCTACAGGTCAGGCTGACGGCGATTCGGAGCGCGAGGGTCTTTTCGCCCTCCATCACCGGCGCGGCGCCATCAAACAGGCCAAAATTCACCTGGTCAAGTGTCACGAGTTCAGCGCCACCTTCTTCCCGCAGCCCACCTTCTGCTCCGTCTGCAAAGAGTTTGTCTGGTGCGCCGCCGGCGTCTTCGACGCCACGACCGTATGTGGCGACTTATTTGTTTTGCGCCAACCCGATTGATGTGGAGCGCTTTGCGCTTTTCCGGCAGGGGTCTCAACAAGCAAGGCTACCAGTGCAGACGTGAGTAGCGCGCGGGTGCGACGGGCGTACGCCGCCGCCATCCCTCTCACCGCCAGCGTCTTGTGTGCGTCGCGCAGAGTGCAACGCGGCCATCCACAAGAAATGCATCGACAAGGTCATCGCCAAGTGCACGGGCTCGGCCATCGACAGCAAGGAAACCATGGTAACCCGCGCATCCAATCATCAAGGGGGCAACGGGAGACGTTGACACGCCAAGCGCGTGAGATTTGTCCCTCCGCGCGCCGCCGTCTCATGAGCTAACGCTGGCGCCGCCTCGCCACGGCGTCGCGTGCGCGTTTTCAGATCCACAAGGAGCGCTTCAAGATCGACATGCCGCACAGGTTCAAAGTGTACAACTACAAGAGCCCCGCCTTCTGCGAGCACTGCGGGACCCTCCTGTGGGGGCTGGCCAAGCAGGGCCTCAAATGTGAGGGTGAGAAGGGCCACTCGGCGTCGAGGTCGAAAGCGCGGCCCCGCTCGGCGCGCTCCAACGCTTTGTTGTCCGCGACTAGAATGCGGCATGAACGTCCACCACAAGTGTCAGAGGAAAGTGGCCAACCTGTGCGGGGTCAACCAGAAGCTGATGGCCGAAGCGCTGGCCGTCATCGAGAGCCGACAGCAGGTCGGGACCGGCGCCAGAAACGCCGGCCGCCTTTCTGTGACTCCTCCGGTATCTGCCTCCTGATGCGACCGAGTGTCGCCCGTCGTCCTCTAGGCCAGGGGCGGCAGAGAAACGGACGTCGTCGCTCGGGAGGAGGGTCCCGTCGGCGTCGTCGGCCGGCCCGGAACGGAAACCGCTTCGGCGGCCGGCGGCAAAGGTACTCCGTTGGATGCGCTTGCCGTCCTGCGCCGGGAAACACGTTGTGTCCTTCCCGTAGAGGCGCCGGGGGTTTCCTGGGAGGGGCCGGCGATGGCCCGCAAGCCAGCGCTCGAGGCATCGGAGGAGGAGGAGGAGGAACCCGCTTACGATTTCCCTCGCCGGGATCGGCCCAAGTTTTCCATCGACGACTTTGTCCTGCACAAGATGCTCGGCAAGGGCAGCTTTGGCAAGGTGAGGCGCTCGTCTTTCTTGGCATCCGCCAACGGGACGGACGCCGCGCCAAATTGAAAAGCCGCCGCCCGCCTCCTCCCGCAGGTGTTCTTAGCCGAGCTGAAAAGGAGCGCTGAGTTTTTCGCCATCAAGGCCCTGAAGAAGGACGTGGTTCTGATGGATGACGACGTGGAGTGCGCCATGGTGGAGAGGAGGGTCCTCTCTTTAGCCTGGGAAAACCCCTTCCTCACGCACATGCACTGCAGCTTCCAGACCAAGGTAATCCTTCTCGCCCCTCCTATGCGATCCAAGCGCGGGGTGACGCCGCGCCTCCTCCCGCAGGAGAACCTTTTCTTCGTCATGGAGTACCTGAACGGAGGCGACCTCATGTTCCACATCCAGAAGTGCCACAAGTTCGATCTGCACAGATCCACGTAGGCGCTCGCGTCCCGGGTCGTCATTCCGGGAGACCCGCCCCCCTCACGCCCGCTCCGCTCTCGTCCCCCCGCAGCTTCTACGCCGCCGAGATTGTCTGCGGCCTTCAGTTCCTGCACTCCAGAGGAATCATCTACAGGTACGTGAAAAAGGGCCGCCGCGGCGAAGTTCTCCCGAGGTCGAGACGTGGCCTCGGGGTGGACGCCGAGTCCCGCCCAGTGAAAGAGGTCCTTTCTTCCCCGCCGCGCCGGCAGGGATCTGAAGCTCGACAACGTGCTCCTGGACTCCGAGGGACACATCAAGATCGCGGACTTTGGCATGTGCAAGGAAAAGATGTCGGAGGAGGCCAGGACCTCCACTTTCTGCGGCACGCCGGACTACATCGCTCCCGAGGTGATTGCGCGCAAGTCGGGGGGGGGGTCAAAGTACCCGCCTGCCGTCTCCCGCTTGATTCCCGCCGATCGTGGCGTGCCTTCAGATCCTGCTGGGCCAGAAGTACAACAGCTCGGTGGACTGGTGGTCGTTCGGCGTCCTGCTGTACGAGATGCTCATGGGTCAGTCGCCCTTCCACGGCCGAGACGAGGAGGAGCTCTTTCAGTCCATCCGCACCGACGACCCCGCCTACCCCCGCTGGCTGAGTCCCGACGCCAAGGACATCCTGATCAAGGTGGGATTCCCGCGCGGCCTCGGCCTCGTCCTCGCCGCGCGTTTTCTCACGCCGTCGCCCCACAGCTCTTCGTCAGGGAGCCCGAGGAGCGGCTGGGGGTGAAGGGAAACGTCCGGCTGCACGCCTTCTTTGGCGCAACCGACTGGCAGGCCGTGGAACGCCGCAAGGTGGCGCCGCCCTTCAGGCCCACATTGGTAAGGTCCAGTTTTCATTTTGTTTGTCGGTGATTTTTATGATTTTTTTTTTTTAACTGCCCACGCAACGGCCGCTTGTTGCGCAACGCGTCGCGGTTGGGAAGACGCGAGTCGACGTATGACCCAGCCCGACGCAAAATCTCTCTCTGTGCTCGCAGACGTCCCCCGGCGACTGCAGCAACTTTGACAAAGAGTTCATCGACGAGAAGCCGCGCCTGTCGTGCGCCGACCGGGCGCTCATGAACAGCGTGGACCAGAGCATGTTCCGCAACTTCTCCGTCGTCAATCCGGGCATGGCTCACGCGGCGGCGGCGGCGCCCTGAGCTTCCCCCCCGCCGAGCGGTCGGACTCGAACGCGCGCTCCATTTCGGGACGCGTGTCCCTTTGGCCAAGTAAGACCGAAACCGACGGCCGCCTGCAGTCCGCTTGACCTCGTCGTCTTTGTTGTCTGCGCATCTTCTATTGGATGTCATTTCGTGCAGCGGCACCTCTTCCGACCTCGTTTCGAACGTGCTCTTCTTATCGGGGTGCCGGAATGTGGATGCTCCGGGGGACTGTGCGGCGTCCATCTTGTTCTTGTTGTAACGTAACGTCAGTGACCTGCGTTGACGTGAGCTCACAAGTGTTGTAGGGTAATAAAACACATGATGTCTATTTCAGTACAATTTCAGTGTTCTGATTTGATATTTTGGGGCGTGGCGGGGAAGAAAAGAGCGGCCGAATCCAGTCACCAATCATCATCTCCCCGCATAATCTGCGGAATATAGATCCACTTAAAATACCCGAAATAGAAACGATAGCTTTCAACGTCAAACCAAAAACGGACACTCGGTGAACACGATACGGACTTGACTGTGTTTCCGTTCCTTTGCAGTTCGGCAGGGGGAAGACGTCTTTTCAGAGAAGTGATCGTTGGTGGCCAATCGCCAACCAAATGAAAACGATGTCACATCGTTCGTCTCATTGGTGGAGGCGCATTCAGTTCTTCGGCTTATTGCCGTCAGTTTTTTTCTTCCCGAACTGTTTGATTGACCAGAATTCGTTAAAAATAACAAATAAGTGAAATCATTTTTTAAAATCTGTTGAGGAGAGCCCGAAAGCCGCTCAAGCCGATGACATCATTTCTTTTATTAGACCGCATTCACGGGACAGAAAAACGTTGCACAACACAAACGTCGGTGTCATTTGTTTATTTGTGTTTCCGTTGCGGGTGGCGGCGAACAGTCGGTCGCGATGCAAGCCGACGGCTTTTGGTTCGACGTGCGTCTGGAACATCGATGCGTTGTCTTGGCATAGAAACAAGTCGACGGCTTCAGCGCGGCGGTCGGAGTTTCGCTTCTCGGCCCGGGTGGACGCGCAAAGGAAAGGCTCTCGTTTCCGCTCTCTCCCGGGATCAACTTTTCTTCGCCAGGAGGCCGGACGGCCGGCGGCCAAAAGTCGTCAGCGCCTCCTGGTGGCGCCGGCGCCGCCGCTACAGTTGCGGCTCAGCTGGGGGAAGCAGACGGCCGGCGTCCTGGAGGTGGGGCCGTACAGACCCAGGTTACGGGCGGCCGCCGACTTCCTGGGCGGCTTGACGGACGGGAACGGCGAGAAGACTTGCGGCTTCGCCGCGGGCGAGAAGATCGGCGCCAAAGATCGAGTCGAGGACCCCATGGAAGAGAGGGACGGCGAGGAGGCTTTGCGGAAGCCCCCAACCGGGTGAGCGGATTTGGGCGGCGGCGTGGAAGGCGGCGTGGGGGATGACGACGGCTCGGGCGTCACCGTGGAAACCGGAGAAGGTGGCGGACTCGGAGCGGAAGGTGAAGAAAAGGGGAGGCGGGCGGAGAAATGTCTGTCGGTGCCCTCGGAACTCGACGAGTCGTCCCGCGCGATCAACGATGGAAGTTGGGCGGGCGCGGCGTCCAAAGTCAGCTTTTGAGCTTCGTCCTGCAGGACCACCGAGCCAAATCGGGCCTCCAAGTCTTCCACCTGTGCGGCAACGCTCTCTGGGGCAGCGGCGCACGCCGCCCGCACGCACTCGGAGGAGAGGCCGCCACCGACGCCGTCTTCCGTCTCGCCGTTCTGCGCACGCGTCGGCTCTTGATCTCCGAAGTTCGGTCCGGCCCGGGCGGCGTGCCTGCGATGAGCTCGCACGTGAGCCCGCCACGGAGAGCCCGGCGACGACGCGCCGCC